ACAATTGATAAAATATTTTCCTTCGTTAATAGTAAATGAGCCATTAATATTTGTAAATAGACAGGAGATTACTACATGCTGAAAGTATTTAAACTCAAAAATGATAATGTATTCCATGGGAAAACCTTACGTATAGTCAGTATTTTTAAACTAAAAAATTCAACATAAGGACTTTATAAGCTTTAATTAGAAAGTTTGTTGACAAATGTGAATTTTTTTTGTATAGTCAGTGGTAATCACTGACAGTTAGCATTTGTGGTGAATGAGAGCACTCAGTCAGATGGACAATCTACCTTAGTATATGTACACATAGTGGTAATGCAGACAGCAGTGTTATAGTTCTTCTTCTTCTTCTTCTTTTTCTTCAGCGTTTGTCTCGCGCTCGGGCGAGGTCCGCTAATGTCCTTAAGAGTGTTATAGTTCTATATCTGAAAATCCCAAAGACTGAACTTTTAAAGTTCTGCATATAATGCCAGTGCTTCTCCACTGAATTACAGTTCTCCTCCATGCTTATGCAAGATAGCAATGTAGCTTGTACAAAACTCTGGTCACTACCTGGACACAGGTAGTCCTCGACTTACAATAGTTCATTTAACAGCCATTCAAAGTTACAACAGCACTGAAAAAGTGACTTATGACCATTTTTCACAATTACAACCTCTGTAGCATCCTCATGAACATGTGATCAAAATTCAGATGCTTGGCAAATGGTTCATACTTATGACCATTGCTGGGTCCCATGGTCATGTGATCCCCTTTTGCAATCTTTTGACAAGCAAAGTCAATGTGGAGGCCAGATTCACTTAACAACAGGGTTACTAACTTTATCGACTGCAGAGATTCATTTAATAACTCTAGCAAGAAAGATTGTAAAATGGGGCAAAACTCACTTAACAAATGCCTCATTTAACAATGGAAATTTGGGGTTCAATGGTGGTTGTATGTCGAGGATTACCTGTATAAGGCTACCAGATGGTAATCAAAACCTCATCCCATCTTACGTATTTCAGAAAGTATACAAAAGATTAACATATAGCTTCTTCAGTAATTTTAATTTGATACCTGGTAATATGAAATACTTCTTTCTTTGGAATTTGCAAAGCTCAGACAGTCTCTAATTTGTTTAAACCTTTGCATGATTGCTTATGGGAGATTATTACTTTAGCCCATTTTGGAGTTTTTTTCCTCAATAACATAAAAAATTGTGTTGTGAGAAAGGAAGGAGTGATGTTGTATTGCTGTTATTAATTGAAGAAGAGACATGGGATGTTGAGTTAACCAATGAGAGTTAGTATGCACTTGCAGCTCCTTTTCATCATCAAGTGAAGCTTAGATAGGTGTGTTTATATGTAAAATATGCACATATCTATAGAAACAAGCACACCTGGCTCACCGCCAGATTGGTTTTGATATTGCAAAAATATCTTTGATAAGTGCTGCTGATTGTGGTAATTGTTGTCAGCTTATAAAGGCATAATACCACATACTGGTTTATTTAGAAGCTGAATTCAGATAAAAATATAATAGCATTCTAGATGAGAGTCACTTGATTTTCTTTCTTTTTTTGTCACCTTTACATTTTTGGGTTTAACAAATGTGTAGTTAAGTAAGTTTTGGTAAATTATTTGGGTTCTCATACAGTGGTTGGAAATCTCTCATTTCTTTTCCATGTTTTAAAAGCCTACAAATAACATCTTTATCTTCACCCATCCTAACATTTAATAGAGAAAATAAGGGCTACTTCAATATGTGAATTGCACATATACCTAGTCATTTCCTGTTTCATTTGCCATCCTCAAATTCAGATCTCAATCATGTCACATGAGAAAAACATATTCTTTATAACATTTCCCCCCATGCCAGATTCTCAAATTATGCATAAAAATTGCTCCTGTCAAGGCTGAATTTAGTTTGGTGGTGGGATTGTACGAATTCAGTTTGACACACTTGAGAACTGGAAAGCGAGGAGAACTGAGATGAAGGAAGCTCCAGCCAAAACAACATGGAGTTAAGTGCCGGAATCCTGACAATAGCTGGGTGATGAGTCAACTACATGCCAATGGCTGTTCGGCCAGAGGATGGAGGAGCGAAGTTGTCAGGAAACTATTCCATATCCTGGTTGGACAATGTGACATATTGTTTGGGAGAAATGAGAAAATTCTGATTTGCAATGTTCTACCAAATGGAGTTTCACGCATGAGCACAAGCGACCTCTGCTCAAGTGGCCTCTGCCCATGCAAATGGAGCTTTGCAAGCGAGGGCAAGGACATATGTGTAGACTTGCCCATCACTCACATGGCCCGGTTTTGAACAGGCTGCGGCCTGGTGGTGGGCCAGGGGTTGGGGACCCTTGGTTTACAATACACATAAAATTACAGTTTGAATAAAATGCAAAATAAAAACACTATATAAACTAGCAGCAGTCATTGAAAACCTAAAACAACATGAATGAAATAATTACAGGAATAGGGAACAGGTTGTTCCTTTGTTCCTATATTACTTTGTAGGTTCAAGGAACTATTATAGCTAGGAACAACAGACAGTTCAGCTTCATAAAACAAAATAGCATTCCTACACTGCAACTTAAAGTTGTTGTTGTTGTTGTTTTTTTAAAAAAAAGGGAACAGAAGGGAAATCCTTCAAGGAAGCATAAGATTATAAAAAGACAGCAACTGCCAACCACAGAGAACATAGTATCTTGGTGGCCCTGGCTAAAATGGCTGGAGTGTCTGTGACTATTTGCTGTAATGAGTGAGGTTGTGCAGCCAGTTCAAGCAATGTGAATTAGGTTACCACTGGAATGCAATGAAGTGCTGGAGACTATCCACTTTGATGAGCCTCAAACAGCTTGGGTGGAGAACACCAGTTTTGAAGGAAAGTTGGAAAACACTAGCTTGGGGTGCATCAGCAATGGGCTGGCGATAGAAGAAGAAAGGCATCTATTCTTGCACTTGGGAAGCACCCATGGTAGCAAGGACCAAGCAAAAAGTTCTGCCCTAGAATAAAACTTCAACAAGGCAGTAGCAATCTTTAAAAAAAAGATCAACAGCACACACATATGTATATGCACACAGATGGATACCAGCAAACTTCTTTACCTGTTCAGCAAATGCTTGCTTATTGTATCACAACATTGTATGGCACTATTTCACTTCCAGAGATGAAGTGAGAAGGCTGCTTAGGTTTTTGGTTTGGGTATGTACTGAAGTTATTAAATTTTGTACACTTCACTGGATGGGTTACATACCAGATTTTAACTTCCACTGAGAATATTCCATAGTTTAATATTTTAGTGCCTCAGGTTTTTATGCTCCATTAATCCTGTGGCATAGTTTGATAAAGTTAATCACTTTTATGAAAGAATTTCAGGTGGTGCTTAGCTTATTGAAGGGACTGCAACATTTTGCTAACTATGCTATGAAAGTGATGAAATTGTTGCATTATACAGTTTTAAATACATACACTCTGCTTTACCTAGTTGATTGGATTTTCCCAAATTATTAGTAGAAGAGGAGGAACACTTGATTGAGATGGGACTATTTTCAGTCTCTACCAGCTGTCTTTTGTTAGTCATTTTACATTTAGCAGAATTAGAAACTTTTTCATAATTGTTTCTAAAACATGCATAATTATATCTAAAGAATAAAGCCATTGGTGTGAAAATCCTGTCCCCCTATCCAATTTATTTAGGAAGTACATGAAGTTTAACTAACCCCCTTGCTGTTACTGAAGGTGCATTTACAAATATAAGCCAAATTAAAACAGCAGTCTTCCTCCCCAGGGCTCCTTTTTTCTACAGTTTGGAATCAATTCAATTTTAGTATTGATTAAAAACATCATAATTGCTATCTTGCTATTTTGGGTGTGTGTGAAACACTAGAAATACATAATAATTATATAATATGAAAATATTATATAAAATTTATAAAAATATTACTCTGCTATCTGAAATCTAGGTCGTCCAGAAAAAGGGTAAAATTCACACACAAAAATCCATAATTAGAAATAACATTCCTTTCTCCTCCAGATAATTGGTTAGATACCGATTAACCATTTCATAAATGGCAGCCCTGTTTGGAAATCACTGAAAAATCATTAGAATCAACACTGTCTCTCTACTATCCAAAATAAACCAAGATATCATCTTAGCTAATTTTTACATATTCCGTTCAATTGCCTGCATTATCTCACCCAGTTACTAAGATTTGTCCATCATTAGTTTAACGTGCATGGTTATATCTCTGATTTAGCCGTTGTTATTAGACAATATGAATTTGCTCATTTCTTATTAATAAGCTATTTCTTCAAATAATTACTTGCTCCAAAGTGTTGGTAGTTCCTAATACATTTCATGTATTCAGTAATTGCATAATTATGCATGTTTTTAATCAGAACATTATGCTGTTTTTGTTGTGGTCTGTGGGGCCTTATTAGACAGAAAGGCTGGACCCACGCACCCGGTGTTTTCATTATGTGGTAGATTCAAAACATGCTCCCATGAGTTTTCTTTGATATAACTTGTTTCTGGTGAAAAATGCACAAGAGGTTTAGTAGTAATATATGTTCTATTTTTGTAGTTTTGCTCACCGTCCTCTTCTCCTTCATTTTCTTCTCTTTTCTGTGTCCCACTGGAATGGTTACTAGTGGAATACAAACAGCAACTGTCAAATGCAGACTACAGCAGAATTTTCTCACAATCCTAGGCAGTTTGAAAGATTCCTACATGGAGCCATTGTCACCCTAAGTAATTGTTCACTTAACTACAAAATGTTTTTCAATCCTTGGGCAGACAGTTTAGCTACAATACAAAAAGTACTCTAAGAAGAATGCTGAAAATGTTAAATGTACAGACCTGGAGAGGTTTTGTAAATGGTTGCCTTATTGTCTGTGTTTTAAGCTATGCACTATTCAATTGTAAAGATTTAACATTTAGAAACCTATGTGAATGTGTGTGTGTGTACAATATAGCTGAGATTCTCTTCTTATATTGTGTCTTTCAGAGGGTAATTTTCAATATTGTCAACTTCAGTAAAACAAAGAGCCTCTACCGAGATGGAATGGCTCCAATGGTAAAATCCACAAGCCGGCCTAAATGGTAAGTTAAAACTCAATGAATATTGTTTTTATGGAGCAAGCTTTGGCTATGATATTTTGGAATCATTCCTTTTTTCTTTGTGGGGTTCATTAAGCTCTGGTCATCTTTATTCTCTTTATATATGCTTCACACTGTTTTCCTTCGAAAGCAGCATTTGTTCTGATAATGTGGACTGACCTTGCGAATGAGTCAATGTTAGTATTTGGCTCTAGCAAGGATGAGTGATCTCCCAGTCACATTTTCATAACATTTCACTGGATAGTCAGATCAACTGAATGCTAAAGGATGGATCACAATAATGTTAACCATTTTTTGACTAAGGTTATATGGGGCAATTCAAATGATATATAGAACTGTGGGATAGGCATAGGTTCTTTTACACATGACAAAACAAAGCAAGACAAGTAGATCATAACATATTCTTAAAGCAATTTGTATTGAGAATGAGAACTAAAAAGCTATATTACCTGGGCTATTTGGATACAGTTAGCAATTTAGAAAATGTTTGTTATCGTATCAATCAGTATGCTGTTACAGCTACAGGTATGTGAAATATTATTGTCTTCTGTTTACTCAGATCTTGTATGAGGCAATTTAAAGCCCAATTATGTACAGATAATATTAAGCAAATGTGTGTCACCTTCTGACCTCCCTGTTCCTATAGCATGTCTTAATTTTTCCCAATTAACTTTAGAATTCACTGAATAGTCCTTTTTATGCTTTTTATATGGTTCCATACTGAAATATAATTCTATATAAACTCTCTGGAAAAGACCCTGAAACTAGGAAATGGAAACTTGGCCTTTTCTTGTATATTTAAAAGTGACATTCTTACATCTTTTGTTCAATAACATGTATTTGCAAGTTGTTCATATGTATACCGTAATATACTTTCAAAAACAATAAATCAGTGAGGTAGAAATTCTGTACCAAGGCCCTTTTCATTTTATTTTCTTCATATTTATCCAGTATGAATAAATAAAAGCAGTAGAATCTCTTATTAAGACTAATTATTATGACATCAAATAACAGAGGATTTAAAATACTGTAAGTGAAAATAAAATAAACAACAGGGAAAATAGAATAAAAACATAAAACTAAATACATAAAAATAGTTTTTGGCCATTGTGCTTGATGGAATATAATATATATTATTGATACCTCATACATTTTTTGCACTAGAAATGTTATGCTCCATTCAATTTTAAGAAAAAATTTGCTTTCCATAGTAACCTTATCACTCTTTATGCATATTTGTATACTATAATATATCTCACTTTTTCACTTAAAAGCTTAGAATAACTTATAGGTGTTTATCCTGCCTAGCAATGTCCTGTTTAAATATGATTGATAAATTGATTTATTTAGCTTCTGCAGTTGTATCCAAAAACAGATTTTTCTTTCAGGACATTGATACACATCCCTTAAAACGAAATCATTCTGTAATAGAAACCAAGCAGTCATAGTTATTAGCAGCTTCTTTCATTTACTGCATAGAAAAAATTACAGATGAGCAGTGTTTTTGTCATTAAAAGTATTGAAACTACACATTGACTTTCTCATAAAAACATTTCTAAACCATTATTAGTCCTTATCTTGTGAGTAGTCTGTATTATTTACATATTATTTAAATACATTTTATTTATAAAAGTAAAAATACTCTGCATACTTTTTAAAATATAGCCAAAATACTTTGCTTTTTTAAAAAAGGAAAGATATCTATAATAACATGCATTCACAATTGATAGTTAAATGCATTGAAATCAGATTGTCTTGCTTTTTCCTAATCTTACATATCTTTACGTAACACCTCTGTATAGAGGGATTGGACCCTTAGTTGGACCCAATTAGGTGTCTGGGAGAGGTGTTTTTAACTTCTCTACCCCTTAGTTAGGTTCAGATCAGTGATCACCATAAAAACTACCAGAGCATAACAAAGGTATCAAGAGTTCCTTTATATGCCAGTCATTAATTCTATTCAAAATTCAATTACATTTGTTGGCATGTATTGATTAACTTTGGAACGATTTCAAACATAGTGTATCACAGAGTGTTAAAGCAGGGTAATATTGAGTTCATTTCTCACCCTCTCTTTGTTTTCAGGGCTATGTCATGCAGCCAAATTTGCATTCCAATAAAAACAGTAAAATACACAATATAATAAAACAGTAAATTTAGTCTGTTATCAGTGACTCCATATTTAATTTGAAAAGGCTGTCCTGAACAGTTTTACAACTTTCTGGAAGGCCATAAGACTGGAGACCTAATCTTCTAATCTTGGAGAGTAAGGTATTTCACAATAGGGAAATCTAATACTGAATATCCACAATTGACCCTCCTTGTATTGCAACACCTGAGAGGTAAGGACCATGAGCAGGCATTTTTGGCAGTTTTTATCTGGAAAAGTCAGTCTTTTAAGTGTGTCCTTAAGCCATTGGGTATCTAAGCAATCAGTATCTTGAATTGCATTTGGAAATGTACTGGTAACCAATCCATTCCTGATATAATAGTATAACATGGCACGATTTATACTGATCAATAAGAATGTATTCTCATCACCGAATCCAGTCCTCCCCATCACCAGATTTCCACTTCTCTCTTGATGAAAATAGCTTGCTTATCTTTGAAAGAAGAGTTTTCTAGTACAGAATGTATTACATTCTAGTCTTGAACTTTGGAAATGGTTGGGGCTACATTTGCAATTGCAACAAGACTTCTGAATTATGGAAACCCTCATCCTAAACATTAATCTTTTTTGTATAGCACAGACCATAGTAGACTACTGATATGCTTGTGCATTGCCATCACCGGGTTTTGCAAATTTTAAAAAGTGAAGTAAAAATGACTTATTCAGTGGGAAATACGTTTTCTAAAGTCAGCAAATATTATCCCTAGGTATAGAATTACTATAACTTTATATTCAGCAAGAGCTTGTCTCAATAGAGACATTAGCCTTCAAGTTGTGCTTGTCTTTCATAAGCAACAACTGGCTACTCATCATTTAAGTTATCCCAACAAACATCATATGGATAACTCTAATTAGCACCTATAGAATAGTAGTTTTTCCCTATGGAATAATCATTGTGAAAGACAAATAACTTAATAGCAATAGTAGACATTTTATACTTTGAGATACAAAAACAGAGCAGGGAACTTTATATAACTCCCTGTGATAATGACTTGCTTTTTGTGCATTATGATGTGATTCACTATTGTTATCAAAACTACCGTGTTTCTCATATAATAAGGCTGGGTCTTATTTTTTTGAGCCCCCCCAAAATGGCTAGGCCATCTTTTGGGGGTGACTTAATTCCCCACCCCTTGCATCTTCGGGCGGATGGCGACAGCTTGGATGTTGACCTTGGCATTGGTGGGGCACTTCGTATCGGAGTCAACGCAGGCAGCACCATATCTGGGTGTGCAACAAAAGTACTTCCTAATGGCAAGCCTCCCCACCATTCCCCCCCATTTCGCATGTTTTAATATAGGCCTTAATTTGGGGGGAGGGGCTTAATTTCATTTCATGCCTATAAAACATGCTGGGACTTCCTATTGGGGGAGGCCATATTGTTGGAGAAACAGGGTAGCACCAGTGACCGTAATATTCTGAGTTCACAAGATCCAAGCCAGATTTTAGTTTGTTCCAGAGCAGATCTGTTTGGATCACAAAATTGGTCCAGAAACTAAAACAATAGAATCATGTAACAGAAGCTCTGTGGTTCAGTATGAGCTGACAGAGTATGAGATCTGAATAAGCTTCCTGAAGCAAAAAGTCTTTTTAAAAAAACAAAAAAGTCAAGCTGCATCTTGAAAAAGCACTGTTGGGACAACCATGATCTGGATGACTGAGAATCTCTATAGACATTTAAACATAAGTTTGGTTTATATATTAGTCAATTGTCCAATTACCATTGCTGAAATGATGTGATAGCTGGGTGTACGTTGGGCCATCAATGACCTCTATCAATAGTAGAGATTGCTGCCCAGAGCTGTGGAGACTTTCAGTGTGGACTGAGGTTAGAGTTATGCTTTATGCTCTTGCTTTAGAAGTAGATTATTAAAATTCTAGTGAATTTCTGACCGGTCATTGCTTAACCATCTACAAAGATAACCAGGGCTGTCAGTAGAGGTGAAATTATGTGAACATTGTGCTTACTTATTTTTCCAATTTTATACTAGCCCCCTTCTCAAAGGAGAATCTAGCCATTATTGCCTCAAGACAAAAGAATACTGTTGTAATCTCTCTTTTGCCAAATCCAAATGAGATCTTTAAATGGCAAGTAGCTAGCTGAATTCCATTCTAGAAAGAGGAAAATTGTAGAAGTGTCATTATTCCATTAATGTGTGTAGGGAATGAGGGGTGTGTTATTCATTTCTTAACCAAGAGCCCCCAACTTCTTAAAGACTTTAATATTTTAAGAGTTGAGGGTCTGGATAAGAAATTTGCACTGCCTCATATGCATATGTCTCTGTGTGCATATGTGTGTATATGTGTGTGTGTCTGTAATTATATTTTTATTTTATATTAGCAGAGCAGCCATGGTAAAATTGTTGCAAACATTTCTTGTTTTTATTTCACTTGGCAGAATGCCTGTTAAAGAACTATTTGTCTTTCTAGTCAAGTTCTACTCTGACATCAATTGCCTATATTGCAATATTCTTGTAGTAGTCCCCCCCCCCCCCCATAGTAGCTTGGATGGTAGAGAGTTTCCTGTGGAGTAACTTAGATTCTAATTTCTATAGATGTTTTTTCTTCATGTCAGGTGGATTATTGTTTGCATTTTATTTGATAGATTTATGGAAAAGCAATATGGGTATAAAAACCAGTATTTCTTCATGTTTATTGATCAGGAGAGGGCAAAGCTATTTAGACAGCATTTGAATTTTGATTAGCTGTAAACTTCTGGTTTCAGAGTTTCTTTTTTATATATACATTTGCAGGTTGTTAGCATGAATGTCTTCTGCCTTTGCACTTGGAAGAAAATATTATTTGAGATTAG